TTTTAGAATGAGACCATACCATTTCCTCGGGAGAGTCATTTCATTCTATATTTTAGATATATTTGCCTATACAACTGTTCTAGACCTAATGGAACGGTGGTGCAAATGTCAAAGAAACGTATTTCCTTAACAACGTAATATAGTACTGTACTGACTCACTCGTTAGGCTATATATACATGAATCATTGGGTCTATTTTCCATCTTGTCAAGGACATTGGCGCGATCCGATCATCGCTACAAATAGAATCATGTCTCCCTTGTATAATATTCTATCTGGATTGAATGTCATATAACCGAGACTGCAATCATAGCATTCATTGGGAATATTGCATAATGAACTACTCATTTACAACCACATATTAGATAATATCCGTACTCATCACGAATACTTACCAACTTCATGGAAGGTATCCAAACACAATTTGTGCATTCACATACAATCATTCATTTCCAACTTATGGTACACACACATACAATTCTTTATATATATATAATTCATGAGTTGCATATCATAATATAAATTTCTTATTTATCGACTATTTATATATCGTACATACATTCATTATTATATATATATATTAAGGGTGACGATTTCAGTTATTAACCGAGTAACTGAATCGATGAATGACATCAATTCTCTGGTTACTTTCATTTTTTTTGTTTTATATTATTGTTGATTTTAAAAAATATTTTTGTTAAATGTATCACATTATTATTATTATTATTATTATTATTATTATTATTATTATTATTATTATTATTATTGTTACTGCCTGAAACCATATAAAATCGGATTTTGAACCATTGATCATAGGTCCAAAATATAATCGGGATGGTCCGGTCCGATCCGAGAAAATGTAAACCCGAATTAGGCTCGATCCCAGCCCGGTTCGCCTTGCCCATTTGACGACCTTAGTGACAAGCCACTTCGTAATGGTGTCGGGATGGGTAAATTAATATCTATCCTTTTCCATTCATCTAAGCAGATAATATGATACCAATAATGTCAATAGAAATTAGAATTTAGTATCTAAAATATAATAAAAGTTTGAAAAAAACCTTAAAAAATCATAAAAATTTGAAATAATTATCACATTAATATTCATCTTTTTCAACTTCCAAACAACACATGAACATTTAAAATTTGATAAAAAAAAATACAGTATTAATTTTAAGTTTTTGCCAAAAACTTGGTTAGATACAAATGACGTTAAAATATTAACGGGATACACATTTAAAATCTTATTTAAGAATACTTTTTAAAAAATTTAATGTCTATCTAATCGAGTTTTTAGTAAAAAAAAAATTGAAAATTAAGTATTTTTTTTATTAAATGTTAAATATTTATAATTTAAATATGAATTGAAAAAGTTTAATAGTTAGACATTTTTAAAAAAAAATCAGTATTTTTTTAAGATTTTCCGTAAAAGTTGGTGTTTATTTCCAAATCCACGCGAATTAATGTAAAAATTAATAGATTTAAATAAAATCGAAAACAATGATGTGAGAATATATAGTATTTAATCAAAATACAAAGGCATTTATATCAAAATTTTGTTATATTTAGATTTTATCTTAATTTAAATTCGACTAATCTGATTAAATAAAATTATTTAAAATTAGTTTTGAGATCTTTGAAACAAGATTTTATATTATTTAGAAGTTTCTTTGGTTCTATTGTACTTTGAAATTCCATGCACTTGTTGGTATTAGAAACTTCGTCAACAAATGTAAAAAGAAAAAGAAAAAGGAATTTTTGGGCACTTTTTTAATATAGATTTTGCGTTTATTTTGAAAAATCAAAGATATTTGCTCTAAATTCCGAAGTTTTTGAAACATAAACGGTTTTATTTCCATGAGCAAAAGGAAAAGCTTTTTGGGCTTTCAGTAGACACGCTTTTAGAATGCAAAGTGGTTACTTTAAACTCCTCTGTAGAGAGAACACTCATTCCATGTTTTTTCTTTTTTGTCCTGCAGCACAATTAATCACGAGAAATTCAATTTCTCTGCTTTGTCCTTTTTTTTTCTCCATCTTAAAAATTAAAATTTATTGTAAATAATCAGGTTTCAAATAAAAAAGAAATTTTGAAATCTGATTCGAAATTTGTTTAATTTATATTAGGTATTCATTTTTTTTTTAAAAATGTTATTCAAAATTGTTTTTCCGTTTTTAACTATTCTTATACGTATTTTAGGTTACTTTAACATTTATATATAATTGAATTTTAAATATATATATTATTTAATTTACTTTGATGTAATTTTATTTATCTAAAGCAATCTCTTCTCCGAAGAAACCAATGGGTTTGACTTTGGTTGAGGATAACAAAAGAAAAGGTTCAAAACCCATCTTTACGTACTGCAGAATTTTTCCTGAACATGCCTAACATTTTCATTATTTATTACGAAATTATAATTACACAATTAATGTATCTATTTTCACATAGATTGAATAAATCTGTATTTTGATAATGTTTTTAAATGTGTGTATACAACATGACATAGGGAAACTATAGCCTATACATATTTATAGATATAAATCTTTCTTTGGTTCAATTAATATGCAAATGCACACAACAATAGAAGACTCAAATATTTTCAACATATTTAAACCACAAAATAGCAAAATCCAATCAATTCCAATGTGATTACTAATCGACACCTTATTAATTACATACAAAACGATATAGGACAGAATATATTATACATATTTTGGTGGATATTTTTTTATACAAATTATCCATATTTGGTTTTTATACCCATTTTTGTTTCCATTCGAATCTAATTCTCTTTTTATTTTAAACTATTCATTAAAAATTTTATTTTTATTTTTATGTAATTTATTAAATTTGATATTGAAAAGATTATATCTATTTAATTTTATAAATCACGCTTTTGTTAGAAGTGTTGATTTGGATATATTAACATATTTGTAACTGAAATATGAGAAATCACGCTTTTGTTAGCAAGTTATAAGCCAACTCTTCCCCTCTCCTTCCTCCTCGTTCTGCAGGTCCCAAGACGGTGAGCGTCTTCCATTGCGTGCAAGCACGTCGCTTTTGCCTCTCTCTCCCTCCGCGGTTGGCCGCCTCCGATCTGGTAGCCAGCCGCCTCCGTCGTGTTTCTTAGGCGGAGTGATTTCCGCGGCCGGCGACTTGTGTTCGCCTTCCATTGAGGTGAATCGAGATCTGAGAGACGAGAAGGCTCGGAATCTCTATTTCTGTGAGAGAGAATCTTAAGTTTGTACGGAGATGTCGTTGGAGAGCGAGCGGAAGTCTTCGGCGGTGTCGGATATGGGGGCTTGGGCGATGAATGTGATCAGCTCCGTCGGAATTATCATGGCGAACAAGCAGCTCATGTCTTCTTCTGGTTTCGCCTTCAGTTTCGGTTCGTCTCTCCGATCTTATCTCTCACTTTGTTTCTTCCTTTTATCTTCTTCGATTTGAGATCTGATGATGCCGATACTGCCGTTGTTTTCAGCGACGACGCTTACCGGATTTCATTTTGCGTTGACGGCATTGGTGGGTTTGGTCTCGAACGCTACTGGATTGTCGGCGTCGAAGCATGTCCCGATGTGGGAGCTTGTCTGGTTCTCCATTGTCGCCAACGTCTCCATTGCTGCCATGAACTTCAGTCTCATGCTTAACTCTGTCGGCTTCTACCAGGTTTACACTTGCAACGAAATTCTCTTTTCTCTTTGTTCCCTTGCCCATAGAACCAAAACCCAGGTTTTGTGTATTTTCTACGGCATTTAACTTCAATTGCGCTGTCTAATTGCCTGAAATCATCCCAATGTCGCTTGTAATCGGTTCAAATATCAACTAGGAAGTCATGTATCTTCTCTCATCTCGAGACAACTTTTGTTTTCTCTTGTTTATCTGTTCTTGAATGATTCAACTATGAATGTTTTGTCCTTGTTAGATCTCGAAGCTAAGCATGATTCCAGTGGTCTGTGTCATGGAATGGATCCTCCACAGCAAGCAGTACTCCAAAGAAGTGAAAGTATCAGTTGTGGTTGTCGTCATAGGTGTTGGCATTTGCACTGTGACTGATGTCAAGGTTAACGCCAAGGGTTTCATTTGCGCCTGCATCGCTGTTTTCGCCTCATCTTTGCAACAAATTGTAAGTCTTTTGTATTGTTCGTCGAGTTTTGCTTCTCATATCAAAGATCATCGTACAGTTATGTTCCTTGGTCTGATTTGTTTAGTATCCATAGAGTTCTGTTTCTCATGCCAAGCTCTATTTCCTTGACCTATCGAATTGATTGGTATGTTTCTTACTTGTCGCAGTCGATAGGTTCCCTGCAGAAGAAATACTCTATCGGGTCTTTTGAGCTGCTAAGCAGGACTGCACCAATTCAAGCTATTTCCCTCCTTGTTCTTGGACCCTTGATAGATTACTTACTCAGCGGTAAATTCATAATCAACTACAAGATGTCATATGGTTGCATTGTAAGATTCCATCTCTTCCCCTTTATCTTATGCACTGGGGTTTTCATGCGTGGAATGGTCTAATATTGCCCTAACATTACCATCTGCAGCTATTCATCATTCTCTCATGTGCCCTAGCTGTGTTCTGCAACATAAGCCAGTACCTCTGTATCGGGCGATTTTCCGCTGTTTCCTTCCAGGTCCTAGGCCACATGAAAACCGTGTGCGTCCTCACGCTGGGGTGGCTTCTCTTCGATTCGGCAATGACCTTTAAGAACATAATGGGCATTGCTCTGGCTGTCGTCGGGATGATAATATACAGTTGGGCAGTGGAAGTTGAGAAGCAGTGTAATGCCAACAAGGCCTTGAACAGTGTGAAACACAGCTTGACAGAAGAAGAATTCCAGCTCCTAAAGGTAGGTGTAGAGACCAAACCATTGAACGATGTTGAGACTGGGCAGTCTAAAGCTTAGGGCAGGATTCAGTTTGCACCTTATACAAGACATACAGATACAGGTACTTTTGTTCCCTTTGTTCTGCCTTAGTGTGTGTGTATCGTTTTTTTTTTTTTGCGGTATTTATACAGATCCGTGGCTTCTTCCCGCTCCCCATAGTTTGTTACCGTAGTTTTACAAGATTCCCGATCCGTATCTGATTCGTTTTCTTCGTGTACTTGCCTTAATCCTTGACCATTATAAGCTGGGGACTTGATCATACACTCATTTTTATGACATAGATGTGGATGCATGCATGCCACATTGTAATGTGTTGGAATGATATACAAGGTCTTTAGGTGATTGAGCAGCTGCTTTGTGAAAATGATGTGTCTGAATTAATTTGCCAATTCATTTAAGAGTTTATAAGCTCTTTGGGAAAGTTGAATCCATCAGATGCTTTTTTTTTATAATCTAAAAATTTATCCGGCTTTTGACCCATCCACATCTCCCCACATGATCTGAAAGTTCATGTGAATGTATCTCTTCAAATGGAGCTGGATTTGCTTCGTTTTTTTACCGATCCGTCCGGTTTTATATACCGAATGGATACCCAAAATTAATTATACAGCAAAGTGGATTTTTCAGTAATTTAATATCCAAAATTAATTATAAGCTGCAAAGATGGAAGCGTTAAAGGCAGACTATCTGTATCCCGTCTGTTGATGGTTTCGTATTCTATTTGGTAACAAATTTTTAGTTCATGTAAAACAGAGGCTAATATCTCCCCCAAAGCGATTTGTTTTTTAATTATTCTATAATTATTACCGAAACGTATATCAGATACAAACGGAACTTAGAATGCGGTTTAGATAAAGATCGACGGTTCAAACCCTTAAAACATCAAAGTTCTGACATTGGTATTCATAGATTAAACGTTTTTTTTTTCCGGTAATGGGTAACCCAAAAAGAGAGAAAGATTCAAAGCTAAGAAAAATCTACAAATTAGAATCAATAAAGTTATATTTATATATATGTATATATATATATAAAAACCCTGAAAATTCTCAAACTTACTATTCGGTGGAAAACTAATTCTTAAACTTATAGATGTTTTTATTTATTTTCGAACTTGAAAAATTGGACATAATAATTTCTAAACTTGCTTAAAATTATCATATATCGTCCTAACAAAAAATTTGACCAAAATGATGTATTGAACAATCCTACATAGTGCGTGAATTGTCAGAACACATCAGAGTTTTATGTCGTATATGCAGAACTGAATTTAATAGATACGGTTTAACAAATCCAATTTATAATAGTGAAAATTCTGGTTCACCGGAAAGTCTGGAATAACGACGAAGGTCGGAATAATTACCATCGCTATCGGTTCTCAAGCTCTAGATCCAGATCGACAGTGCCTCCGTCGAAACAGGAGCCTTTGGCGCCAAAGTAATCGTCATCGGGGCTAGATCTCTTTCATCCCATATTTTTTGGTGACAACGATATCGTTCAAGGAAGAGACACGGCGATCGAAAACGCTATATCGATGAACCCAAAAATATCCTCCAAATTAGTACTTTTAACCGAAATTTTTACTATTATGAGCCAGTTTTGTTAAACCGTATCTATTAAATTCGGTTCTGCATACATGACATTAAAATCTGATGTATCTTGATAATTCATGCGTTAAGTAGGATTGTTTAACATATTATTTTTGTCAAAATTATTGTTAGAACGGTTATGATATTTTTAGACAAATTTAGGAATTATCATATCCAATTTTTTAAGTTTAGGAATAAATAGAAACATCAGTAAGGTTAGAAATTAGTTTTCCACCGAATTATAAATTTAGGAATTTTTAGAGTATAGATAGATATATATGTGTGTGTGGGTGTAGTATATTAACTAGGGTAAATGAAGATGTGAATATATTCTGCATGTGATGAATTCGATTGGTTTAGACAATTATCCTTAAAGTTTCCAAGGCATGTGATGCTCTTTCTCTCTCATGATGCCTTGCAATTCTAACATTAGCTGTAATTAACTACTTTTAAATTGAAGTTTTCCTCCCTCTCCTTGAAAAGAAATTAAACATAAATAACAATTTTCTGTTTTTTTTTCTCCTTTTGTTTAATTAATTGCTTTCTGCCCAAGGCAACTCTCGAAACCCTCACTTGAATTTAACCCATACTTAATCAATGAGATTGATTTAAAATAAACCAATCAAATTCAGAAAACAATGTATTCAGAAGCATCAAAGAAAAACCAGAAATTTACCCTATTTTTATTATAGAGATTTTGCATATCAATTACTGACCAATAAAAAAGAATCGACCCGATCGGTGTTGTGCATAAACACAAATATAAAGATGACGGTTTTACGAAACATCATGTCCTTATGCCATATCAATCTACACATACATGGGTAGATCCGAAGATATCCATCTCAATTTCTATATGTATAAACAATTATCATGAAACCAAGAAAACAAATCTTCTTATATCGCCGAGGACATTGAATTATATGACTGTGAAAATAAAAGGAAAGAGAAAAAGAATGGGATGAGGCCATTGATACAAATTTTCAATGGCTTCAGTATTTCCTATACTTTTTTTTTTTTTAATCGAACCAAGAATAAAAACAAGATCTTTCCAAGAATGTTCGAGATTACTAATCAAGAAAAGAACGATGAAGTATACTTGTACGAATGCATGTATGATCCAACGCACACATGGTTCTTCATGAGACGCTATCTTCTTGTTCTTCTCTTATCGTTAGATCCCAAATCGCCATTAATTGTTACTCTCTGAGTAGAACTTGGAGATAAGATCGTGGAGATCAATGTAATGCACGGAAGGGTCTCCGGACTTGAGGAGATGAGTCAAGTACATGAAAACATCGATCTCGCAAGAGATCCTCAACGCGCCGTTGTAGGAGAATCCGAACTCTTCTTCCGACAAACGAAGCAAGTCTTCGAACAGTGGGTGGTTCAAGAAATCAGCCTCCATCTCTAACTTGCATTGCGTGTCTCTGTCGTTCCCGACATAAACACGAACTCTTCCTTCTTCTGGTATTGCTGTTTTTGCAAAGCTCTTGGCTCCGCAGCATAGTAACTTCTTCACCATGCTTCTCATGATGATTCTGATGATCTGGGTCTGGTTTTTTCCTCCAATTCTCTGACGGGTCAGGTTTTTTTTAGGGTTCTTGCTTGTGATCTGGGATTGTGATGGAGAGAATCTAGAGGGGTGAGGTATATATATATATATACATGTGCATATGTATGTGTGGGATAGAGAGATAACGTAGTGAGGAAGGAGGAAAGGGAGATGAAGCCACGGAGAGTCGGTTTGTGGAGCCGGTTAGAATTATTCCGGTGTAGAGACTGAGACAGTTATTGATTCTTTATGTAAACCGAAATAAACCGGTGGTTTAGTTCTTGGGTTTTAGCTTTACATGGATGGACTTGGGAACGGAATTTCCAACGCCTAGATTTTGTTTCCGGCAGGTTTTGGAAAGATTTTCTTTTTGGTTAAAAAAAAAACTACTTACATATATCAACTAATGTCATAAAGATATTGTCAAGTATATACATTTACAAATATTTTATATTAACTAACAACAAGATTTGATGGTTTCAAAGACTATTTTTTCCGTTAGTTGAGGTTAGACACATATATTTTGATTTTGGTAGTACATATTAAAATAAAATCGAATAATATATAACGTATCCGAATTGATCTGATTAAAAATTGATTGGTTACTATTTTTATAATTAAAATAAAATTTTCTTAATTCTTATCAAATATAAAAATAATTGAAAAAACCAGAACAATTTTTTTAGAAAATATTTTTTCACTCTTACATATTTAAAAATTTGTCGAATGGGAATCTTCACAAATATTCCACGAATTCATGACTGCCAAAAGGCTACAAATTTGTTATATAATAATTGCTTGCCCGTCTCCAAGGAGTAAATTAATGGTTATAAAGTTATAATTGATTTCAACACTCTTAAATCTGGTCGCTCAGAATTCGAGTTTTACTTAACCGGTTGTACCGGTTTAGGCGTACCGATTGTTATTGACCCGAGCCGAACCGACGAAGATCAATGCATTTAGAGCTGAAGAGAGGGAGCCGCAAGTGACAAGTGGGGATGGATGGAATGGAAGAGCTGACCCCAACGATTTGATGCAATAATTGTACACTTGTACTTCCTATATTTAATTAATTAATTTCATATGCCGTCTTATAACGAGTAAATGGATTTATACATATTAAATTATTATCATAGCAATAAAAATATCCATTTTTTTAATACAATCCAAAGCCAGATATAACCCAACTCGTTTGGAAAAATTATATTTTAAAAAGAGAATAATAGTAATAATATTATATCAATAATTTTTTTCTGAATTTTATAAATCTTTATATGACCATAAATTATGCACTAATTCGTATAATTTTCACTTAGTTAAATCGATGTGTTAGGATTTTTGCTAAGACTATAGGGTTCTAAATACCATTTTTTTGTCGGTTGCGCTAAACCTTAACCGAGACATCATATAATAAGTGAAGTTTTGGTTTGACCGGCATATGCACAAACCAATCTTATATGAATCGGTTTTGGTTATAAAATTGGTCAGTTATAATTTTCATTAATTTAAATTAATAGCATCCGAATCAAATAGGAAGTTCTGATAATCCAATTCAAACTAAACGTTAATATGATGAAAATAAAACTAACCCCAAGCTTAAGTGGACAAACGGTAAAAGTACATGCAAACTATTTTCTTATCCTGGATTCAAATCCATGCATGGAAAATAAATTTATTCAGATTTTTCCGATCTTCTGAAAAATGTAGTTATATTAAAGGTAGAGTGAACTTTCGAATTATAAAAAAATATATATATATAATTTCAATCCAAACGAAAACAAAAAAAAAATGCGATTATATATAGTTTTACGAAACCAAAAAATAATATCCGAAAATAATCCGAATAGAAAAGCTAAATAATCTCCTTCGAGTTAATTAATCCTTGTTATTGCGTTATATTTCTATATTTCAAAATGATCTTTAAATTATTACGTAGACGTTCGATTCATCAATATACACTATAAATTTAGAATAATATGCTCGGAATGTTCATTAGGCAATCTAATTATTCGAAAAATTGCCAAGAGTGGTTGGCTCAACTAGTAAGTGGGTATGACAAAGAGTGCTCCACCTAGGTTCGAATCTCACCCTTGGCAAATCACATATTATCAAAAAAAATAATTATTCGAAAAATTGATTAGCGTTAGATACTATTCTCATAGTTTTTGCATACACATAAAAATTTGTCCACTTTTCGGAAAAATCACAAAATACATTACAAGATTCCAAAATTGTGTAATGAAACTATTCTCTTAGTTTATATATACAAAATTTTGTCCACTTTTCTACCAATTACAAAATACGTTTCAAGATTCCAAAATCACAAAAATACTATTCGTATAGTTCATATATACGAAACTTATTTATGTTCGAATAAATAAAATAAAATCGAATGATATATAATTTTATCAAAATCTAACTACATCTAAAAAATTATTGGCTGTTAAAATTAATCATACCAATTATAATAATAACAAAATATAATGAAAATGGAAATCTCTTTAAAAATATATATTTTTTCAATAAAAATCTATTTCAAATTAAACTTGAAAACAAATCCAATGAAGTAGGAATATATGTATAAAATCAAATAGGTAAATTGTTTTTTCTAAATTATCTAATGCGGAATAAACAACTAATATAATCATTATATTATAAATATTATAAATATGAAGACATGAGTTGGCCACTCCTCTCCAAGTCTCGAGGAAGAAGGAATAAGAGAGGAGAGAGTGTGTGGAGATGCTTGATACGGAAGTCAAGGTGGAACCGCGTATTAACCGGAATTTCTATATTCTTTTAATTTTTAATATATTTTAGGTATTTTTTATTCCGTTCAAACTATATGTTATAAATATTATTTTATGTTTTGTTATTTTATTTGTTCAAACTTTTATAATAAAGTGCATTTATTAGGGAGGGAGGAGCAAAGCCGGTGTAGAGCCAGTCACCGCTCCCATGTGCCTCCATTCTTTTAATTTTGTTCCAACTATATAACATAAAATTCTATATTCGTTTCCTTATGATTATATATATATATATATATTAAAAAAATCGAGGTTAAAAGACCGTTCACTATTTGAATATAATATATGCAAGGCCAAAATAACAAATTGGATTATTAAACTTCCAAACTTGGTTCTGATCTATTTTCTATTTTTCTTCAATTATTTATATCTCGATTCGTAAGTTCAGAACTAAACCGAAATAAACCGAAGAGATTATGCAAATTTGGGTTAACTTTATTTATTTTTAATTCCAAAAATAGAGTCAAAATGCAGAAGCAATGTATTGGATGAAACCGGAAAATATTGGGCCACGAATTTTGCAGAAAAGTTTCGGAGTTATGAGATGCGTTTGTATCTCCACGCTCCAGGGGCTGCGGCCTTTCTATTCCTAGTCTCCCTTAAAATTCAAACATCAAATAATTCATTACCCAACCCGTTTAAATATTTTAAACCCAACATATATAATCACAAAATACACAAAACCCCTTAAATTCCACGGATTTTTCGGCATATAAACTCGAAAACCGGTTTATTCTACATAACCAAACTCAAGCTCGGATTGGATCAAATACCCGAAAATCGGTTTATTCTCCGATCACTTAGTCTCTGACAACTTGGTTTATTCTTGATGATGTTCTTCATTCATTGTGCTATTTGTCCTATTTGGCGTCAAACTCGGTTTGTGTTGTCCAATTGATAATATGATCAGTTCGGATCTGCCCAGTCTCAGAGTCGAATGTATCTTTTTTTTTTTTTAATTTAAAAAATGGTTTTCAAATTCATGGATTTTCTTCATTTGCGTTTGTAGTTTTGTTCTCGAGCTCGCAGTAAAAAAAAAAGCTTTTTAAGGTCTCTCGTTGTAATTTAAGTTTTACACTTGCATATTCAAGTCCTAGTGTTTGTTCTGAAAATAATTTTCTTACATAAATTTCGCTATAATTAATCATCTGAAATTAAGTTGTGGTGTATCGAACCTCACTAAGAATGACTATTAGAGTTAAATAAATATTTAACAGAAATAAAATAGTGCTATAAAAAGATAAAACCTTACTAACAGGATGACTATCAAATCTAAAAATCGCATCTTCATATATTCAAATAAAAAAAATATACGATCCGAACATTCGTAGATTCGTCAATGACCCCAAAAAAAAAGAAAAGAAAACTTCGCAAGAATGTTTCTTAGTTTTCACGTTCCGACAAAACTAAAGTGTTCGAGATCTTAACAAACCGGTTTACGACAGAGAGGGCATTCGCGATTGATCTGCAGCCTGTTCTTGATGCAATCTCCATGAAACGTATGATCGCAAGGCAATCTAGTGATCATCGAACCTTCTGCGAAATCCTCCACGCAGATCACGCATTCCCGAGAAAATCTGACGGTTTCGAGCGAATCGATGGTGGAGGAATCGGCAGGGACAGGTTTCCGAGAAGACAGGATCCCCGGAAACATATCCTCGACGTAAGAATCGACTTCGGGATCTTCATGTATCTGCACCGTCTCTGATCTTACCCTCCAAACATCGACCTCGATCACTCCTCCCGTTACTCGCGGATTCTGTCTCACGTAGTCACTGATCTCTTCCAACATCTCGGTGTAGAGTTCCTTTGGGACGCCAAATCTGCGGAAGTGGGCCGTGATGAAGGAGAATCTGTGGCGGTCGGACGAGGCGTTACGCGTTGAAACCCCTGCTGCGTTTGAGTTTTGAAGACCGTTGACGATTTCGACGATTACGTTGTGGTCCATTGGTTCGGGAAGAGACGCGGAGGACCTGAAAGCTGCGGTGGTTTCCTGGGGAAGATCGAGGATTGTACCGTCGGGGAGATGGGTTTCGGGGCTGAGAATGTCGACGCCGTTGAAACTTAGCACCCACCAGTAGAAGTCCTGATTCGGACGAGGATCCAATCCGTACGAGAATGTCACAGAAGAAGCCATGGCGTTTCTTGGAGAGCAAGCAAGAGTCGAGTGTCTATCACAGGAAGAATGAATGAACAAAGACTTAGAGGTACGTGACTATTTATAAATAATAACTAGGGTTTCCAT